AACAGAGTCAGAGATTTGCATTTCCCCATCATGCACTACATGGGGCAGGATTTCTTTGTATACCGTGCGTATTCACCACACAGACCCATTCTCTCAGGTCTAGACCAAAATTTGCCGCTTGCAAGTAAATAAGTAAGTTTATTCAGGTATACACAAATACAGTTACATAGAATTATCATACATAGCAGCATATGTGTAGAGAACCTAGGATAACCCAAAAAAGTCAGACAGAGTGGCTTATTTCCATTTGAAGGAGCCGTGCTTAATACATAAACCGCCCAAAATGCCCTGGCATGACAGTGGCTTTCTTTGTACTTAGCTAATCAAAATTGTAAATACACATTGTACCCTTGCAAAGAAATAAAACATTTATTCTTATTTTTATTTTCCATGAGCGACACTGGCATCAATAACAGATCTACGGATGAAACGGTGGGGGAGGGAGTTACCGTGATGCATCATACAACCTACCAATTTTCACCGTATCCATCTCATACCATCACCAGCTCATTCTCACGTTCTTACATTTAACAGTGATGAATTAGACACTTGTGTAACACTTGGGTATTCTTATTGTGGAAGTGTTTTGCCAACCAGTGGCTTCCTGGTGATTGTGTATTATTTATCACCTGTTTGCAATTACTGCAATATGTTACTATGTTTCAGGTAATCAGTCCCTCAGCCTGGAGTCGATGGGTTCAGTTCACAACACTTACGTGTTGAACAACTGTCTAATTCATCAATCTCTCAGTTCTTTGAGCCAGTAACCTACATAACACTACCTACTTATCCTTATGTTGTTACACTAATTTAATAATGCCCAATAAAAATATTCACACTCATTACACTAGCCACGGCTTTTATGATAAAATCGCTAAGTATGGATAATGTATATAAATGGTAATTAAGATGGTGTCAATCGTAAATTAAAGAATTTGCAAATAAACACAAGCAACCAAATCAACTATCATTTCAAAAATATTTCAACATCGCATGACGTAACAAAAACACAGCAGAACCCCCGTATCAATGGATTCAGTTTCTGCTGTTTCAGTTATCCACTATTTACTGTAGCCCAAAAATAATTTCGCTTAATAATGACCCCAAAGAATGAAAATAGCAATGATGGCAGTTCTTCAAAGCCTAAGAGAAACCATGAAGAGTTTTTCATCAGTGAAAAAAAAATTCTCGGCTTGTTGCGAGTAATTTATCAATTAAAATTTACCATAGGTAAGTACAGTGGAACCTCAAAAATCTAACTGCTCCCAACACAACCAATTATTATGTAAGTGTATTTTTGTAAGTGCTTTTATAAGTGTATTTTTGAGGGTCTGAAATGGACTAACCTAATTTACATTATTCCTGATGGGAATAAATTCATTCGGTAAAGGCACTCGAACAGCCTTCTGGACCAAAGAAAGTTCGATATTTGAGGTTCCACTGTAAATAAAAACCGGTATGTATAGCGTTCGCTACTATCTGCAGTTTTGGATATCCTGGAGTTTACCTGGAGAGAGTTCCGGGGGTCAACAACCCCGCGGCCCAGTCTGTGACCAGGCCTCATGGTGAATCAGAGCCTGATCAACCAGGCTGTTACTGCTGGCTGCACGTAATCCAACGTACGAGCCACAATAAGTCTTGGAATGTATTCCCCGCGGATATCTGGAGTTTCTGGAGTTTATCTGGAGAGAGTTCCGGGGGTCAACGCCCCCGCGGCCCGGTCTGTGACCGGGCCTCCTTAGGTCAGTGTCCCAGGATGCGACCCACACCAGTCGACTAACACCCAGGTACCCATTTTACTGATGGGGAACATAGACAACAGGTGGAAAGAAACACGTCCAACGTTTCTACTCTGGCTGGGAATCGAACCCAGGCCCTCGCTGTGTGAAGCCAGAGCGTTAACCACCAGGCCACCAGAGCCCCAGGATGTGACCCACACCAGTCCACTAACACCCAGGATGTGACCCACACCAGTCCACTAACACCCAGGATGTGACCCACACCAGTCCACTAACACCCAGGATGTGACCTACACCAGTCCACTAATACCCAGGATGTGACCCACACCAGTCCACTAATACCCAGGATGTGACCCACACCAGTCCACTAATACCCAGGATGTGATCCACACCAGTCCACTAACACCCAGGATGTGACCTACACCAGTCCACTAACACCCAGGATGTGACCCCCACCAGTCCACTAACACCCAGGATGTGACCCACACCAGTCCACTAATACCCAGGATGTGACCCACACCAGTCCACTAATACCCAGGATGTGACCCACCCCAGTCCACTAACACCCAGGATGTGACCTACACCAGTCCACTAATACCCAGGATGTGACCTACACCAGTCCACTAACACCCAGGATGTGACCCACACCAGTCCACTAATACCCAGGATGTGACCCACACCAGTCCACTAATACCCAGGATGTGATCCACACCAGTCCACTAACACCCAGGATGTGACCTACACCAGTCCACTAACACCCAGGATGTGACCCACACCAGTCCACTAACACCCAGGATGTGACCCACACCAGTCCACTAACACCCAGGATGTGACCCACACCAGTCCACTAACACCCAGGATGTGACCCACACCAGTCCACTAACACCCAGGATGTGACCCACACCAGTCCACTAACACCCAGGATGTGACCCACACCAGTCCACTAACACCCAGGATGTGACCCACACCAGTCCACTAACACCCAGGATGTGACCCACACCAGTCCACTAACACCCAAGATGTGACCCACACCAGTCCACTAACACCCAGGATGTGACCCACACCAGTCCACTAACACCCAGGTACCCGTTTTACTGATGGGTGGAACACGGACAACCGGTGTAAAGAAACATGCCCGATGTTTCTACCCTTGCTGGGAATCGAACCCAGACCCTCGCCGTGTGAAGCGAGAACTTTAGCTGCCAGGCCACGGCGCACCGTGGAAATAACACATCAGTAACAAAGAAAAAAAATAGTCACCGGTACATGATACTAATCCTCGTTAATAGTCAACGGAACACAAGGACCTCAATGAAAATAAGTGACATTTTTACGTTATCCTAGGTAATTTACTATGCAAAATAACCACAGGGAGAGTTGAATGATATCTCTAGGCCTTTTGTGTTGCAATCATCTTCAGGAGCTTGCAATGTTGCAGGAACGAGTGGGAGGTCTGGGTAGATTCATCCAGGGCAGTGGTTCCCAAACTGGGGGTAATGGTAGAGTAATCGTAGGTAATGGTAGAGTAATGCTCTCTCTAGACTCTAGAAAGAGCATTACTCTACCATTACTCTACCATTACCCCCAGTTTGGGAACCACTGATCCAGGGGAAGGACTCTAGCTAGAATCGACCCCGATTTCCTACTCATTTCTGCAACATTGCAAGCTCCTGAAGATGTCGACTGCAATATAAAAGACCTAGAGCTATCATTCAACCTCTCCTGTAGTTAATTTGCATCTTTTGTCGCTTGTTCGTGATTATTGCAATGTGTAACTATGTACAATAATTGTACTTGTGTGTACCTGTACCTAAGTAAACCTAATTACTGCATTAAATTCATGGAGAGTACTAAACCCTTAGGGTTTACTAAATCCTTAGGGGTTAATTTCTCATTCCCACAGGAATGAGAAATAGTTAACTAGATTAAAGGTCCGCAGATACAATTCCTTGAATCAAGAGCCCTTCGCTAGCATCAAGGAACCTCCCTTGACAGGTACCTACTTACTGCTAGGTGAACACTGACAGCAGGTGTAAGGTAACTAACACCCAGGTACCTACTTACTGCTAGGTGAACACTGACAGCAGCTGTAACTAACACCCAGGTACCTACTTACTGCTAGGTGAACACTGACAGCAGGTGTAACTAACACCCAGGTACCTACTTACTGCTAGGTGAACACTGACAGCAGGTGTAACTAACACCCAGGTACCTACTTACTGCTAGGTGAACACTGACAGCAGGTGTAACTAACACCCAGGTACCTAATTACTACTAGGTGAACACTGACAGCAAGTATAAGGTAACTAACACCCAGGTACCTACTTACTGCTAGGTGAACACTGACAGCAGCTGTAACTAACACCCAGGTACCTACTTACTGCTAGGTGAACACTGACAGCAGGTGTAACTAACACCCAGGTACCTACTTACTGCTAGGTGAACACTGACAGCAGGTGTAACTAACACCCAGGTACCTACTTACTGCTAGGTGAACACTGACAGCAGGTGTAACTAACACCCAGGTACCTACTTACTGCTAGGTGAACACTGACAGCAGGTGTAACTAACACCCAGGTACCTACTTACTGCTAGGTGAACACTGACAGCAGGTGTAACTAACACCCAGGCACCTAATTACTACTAGGTGAACACTGACAGCAGGTATAAGGTAACTAACACCCAGGTACCTACTTACTGCTAGGTGAACACTGACAGCAGGTGTAAGGTAACTAACACCCAGGTACCTACTTACTGCTAGGTGAACACTGACAGCAGGTGTAACTAACACCCAGGTACCTAATTACTACTAGGTGACCAAATCTTAAAAAAATTCACAAAAATAAGCTTAATTTATTAATTAGGAATCCATGAGCACCTAAGGACCACAATGTTACTAAGCCACACTCCTGGCTTGCCCTGGGTTATTATATGGGTTAATAATGTTAATAATGTTAATAATGAGCTTTAATACGAGTTAATTAGGTTATTTAAGGTGAAGGTTTGAAACCTATCTACTACACGATGCTTGGTAAGACTACACCTAATATTTTCCATTATATGGGTAATTTAATACTTTAAATGGTATTAATGTAAACTCTGGATGTATATACACCGAGATATACACATAATAGTTTATATTTGGTGTGTATATATGGAGAGAAAGAAGGTTAGGTATCCCCGGTATCCCTCCCTCCCATTACATTATCTCCCACCCAGCCACTGTGCTCCAGATCCAAGGTGGCGGAGCCAGCAGCTTACCAGAAAGAGCGGGATGGTGTATTAGCAGCAGCAGCAGCAGGAAGCAGAGTAAAAGAGAGTGAGACGAGTGCTGGACAGTCATCCCACCATCACCAGGGCCACAACAAACCCACCTTCAGGCTCCGTCCCTTTCACCTCCACACACTCCTTATTTCATCTATTAAAACCTCCCGGGGAGGCCTCCACGCATCGTTTCTCCCCTCCATCGCCTCCATGTCACCTCCCACCTCACTCACCTTGTAAAATTCCGACGGGAATACCAGGATTATAAGAATTTAGGGCAGCGGATGGGAGTAAAAACAGACGGACTCCAGCAGTGCTGCTCCACCATACATAATAGCAACCACAAGCGCAACCTTAAGAAAATATACCTAAAATATACCTAAAATATACCTAAATATACCTAAAATATACTTATACATACCTATGTCTAAAATATACATAAATATACAGAGAAATTTCACCGTACTAATACGTACGGTGAAACACCTAAATTACTGAGAACAGTTCATGTCCTTTGATATGTATTTTCTGGAACCCAGGAGAGATATATGATGATATATACTACTTGGAATATCCTAGAGGGATTAATAGCAAACTTGCACACGGGAATTACTTTTTAAGACAGCAAAAGACTCTGCAGGGGATGCAACATTGAAGTGCAGGGATGCCATGAGTATACTGAGACAACAGTGTCAGGGGCCCAGGACTGTTCAACTGCCTCCCAGCATACATAAGGGGGATTACCAGTAGACCCCTGACTGTCTTCAAGACCTCTGGCTGTCTTCAATACCCCTGGCTGTCTTCAAGACCCCTGGCTGCCTTCAAGACCCCTGGTTGTCTTCAAGACCCCTGGCTGTCTTCAAGAACCCTGGCTGTCTTCAAGACTTCTGGCTGTCTTCAAGACCCCTGACTGTCTTCAAGACCCCTGGCTGTCTTCAAGACTTCTGGCTGTCTTCAAGACCTTCAAGACCCCTGGTTGTCTTCAAGACCCCTGGCTGTCTTCAAGACCCCTGGCTGTCTTCAAGAATTCTGGCTGTCTTCAAGACTTCTGGCTGTCTTCAAGACCCCTGGCTGTCTTCAAGACTTCTGACTGTCTTCAAGACCCCTGGCTGTCTTCAAGACCCATGACTGTCTTCAAGACCCCTGGCTGTCTTCAAGACCCCTGGCTGTCTTCAAGACCCCTGGCTGTCTTCAAGACCCCTGACTGTCTTCAAGACCCCTGGCTGTCTTCAAAAACCCTGGCTGTCTTCAAGACCCCTGACTGTCTTCAAGACCCCTGGCTGTCTTCAAGACCCATGACTGTCTTCAAGACCCCTGGCTGTCTTCAAGACCCCTGGCTGTCTTCAAGACTTCTGGCTGTCTTCAAGACCCCTGACTGTCTTCAAGACCCCTGGCTGTCTTCAAGACCCCTGACTGTCTTCAAGACCCCTGACTGCCTTCAAGACCCCTGGCTGTCTTCAAAGACCCTGGCTGTCTTCAAGACCTCTGACTGTCTTCAAGACCCCTGACTGTCTTCAAGAACCCTGGCTGTCTTCAAGACCTCTGACTGTCTTCAAGACCCCTGGCTGTCTTCAAGACCCCTGCTGTCTTCAAACCCTGACTGTCTTCAAGACCCCTGGTGTCTTCAAAACCCTGGCTGTCTTCAAGCCCCTCTGCTGTCTTCAAGACCCCTGGCTGTCTTCAAGAACCCTGGCTGTCTTCAAGACCTCTGACTGTCTTCAAGGCCCCTGGCTGTCTTCAAGACCCCTGGCTGTCAATAACCCTGGTTGTCTTCAAGACCCCTGATTGTCTTCAAGACCCCTGGTTGTCTTCAAGACCCTCTGGCTGTCTTCAAGACCCCTGGTTGTCTTCAAGACCCTGGCTGTCTTCAAGACCCCTGACTGTCTTCAAGACCCCTGGCTGTCTTCAAGACCCCTGTGTCTTCAAGAACCTCTGGCTGTCTTCAAGACCCCTGGTTGTCTTCAAGACCCCTGGCTTGTCTTCAAGACCCCTGGCTGTCTTCAAGACCCCTGTTGTCTTCAAGACCCCTCGGCTGTCTTCAAGACCCCTGATTGTCTTCAAGACCCCTGGCTGTCTTCAAGACCCCTGATTGTCTTCAAGACCCTCTGGCTGTCTTCAAGACCCCTGGTTGTCTTCAAGACCCCATGGCTGTCTTCAAGACCCCTGGCTGTCTTCAAGACCCCTGGAGCTTCAAGACCCTGCTGTCTTCAAGACCCTAGTCATTAAGACCCCTGGCTGTCTTCAGACCCTGCTGTCTTCAAGACCCCTGCTGTCCAAGACCCTGATGTCCAGACCCCTGGCTGTCTTCAAGACCCCTGCTGTCTTCAAGGAGCCTGGACACTCAGAGACCGTGCCAGCCAGCCGTGTCTTGTGGTTTAAGACCAGCCTAACACCCTGGTTGATCAAGCCCTGACCTACAGGACCTGGCCTTCAGCGACCCTGGCGCAGAGGCTACCACACTGAACATACCTACCTACCTTACCTAACAGTCATCTACCTACTACCTACCCTACACAGTCATCTACCTACCTACCTACCCTACACAGTCATCTACCTACCTACCTACCTACACAGTCATCTACCTACCTACCTACCCTACACAGCATCTACCTACCTACCTACCACTACACAGTCATCTACCTACCTACCTACCCTACACAGTCATCTACCTACCTACCTACCCTACACAGTCATCTACCTACCTACCTACCCTACACAGTCATCTACCTACCTACCTACCCTACACAGTCATCTACCTACCTACCTACCCTACACAGTCATACCTACCTACCTACCTACCACCTACCTACCTACACAAGTCATCTACCTACCTACCCTACACAGTCATCTACCTACCTACCTACCTACCTACCCTACACAGTCATCTACCTACCTACCCTACACAGTCATCTACCTACCTACCTACCCTACACAGTCATCTACCTACCTACCCTACACAGTCATCTACCTACCTACCCTACACAGTCATCTACCTACCTACCCTACACAGTCATCTACCTACCTACCCTACACAGTCATCTACCTACCTACCCTACACAGTCATCTACCTACCTACCCTACACAGTCATCTACCTACCTACCCTACACAGTCATCTACCTACCTACCCTACACAGTCATCTACCTACCTACCCTACACAGTCATCTACCTACTACCCTACACAGTCATCTACCTACCTACCCTACACAGTCATCTACCTACCTACCCTACACAGTCATCTACCTACCTACCCTACACAGTCATCTACCTACCTACCCTACACAGTCATCTACCTACCTACCCTACACAGTCATCTACCTACCTACCCTACACAGTCATCTACCTACCTACCTACCTACCTACCCTACACAGTCATCTACCTACCTACCCTACACAGTCATCTACCTACCTACCCTACACAGTCATCTACCTACCTACCCTACACAGTCATCTACCTACCTACCTACACAGTCATCTACCTACCTCACTACCCTACACAGTCATCTACCTACCTACCTACACAGTCATCTACCTACCTACCCTACACAGTCATCTACCTACCTACCTACCCTACACAGTCATCTACCTACCTACCCTACACAGTCATCTACCTACCTACCCTACACAGTCATCTACCTACCTACCCTACACAGTCATCTACCTACCTACCCTACACAGTCATCTACCTACCTACCCTACACAGTCATCTACCTACCTACCCTACACAGTCATCTACGTACCTACCTACCCTACACAGTCATCTACGTACCTACCCTACAGTCATCTACCTACCTACCCTACACAGTCATCTACCTACCTACCTACCCTACACAATCCACTATATTACTGTTTACTATTATTGTCAATATTATTAATGGTGTTCATTAATATTTCAGGATGTTTATGCTATTATTACTTCTAAGGTCACTATATTTTGTGATATTTAACTCTATTAGTTAACTTAGGAAATCATGATTAGTTTCGAAGAAGTAAAATAAAGTCTTGAGTTTCTTGGAACAAGAGATTAAAAACTTCCACCTCAAGGCGTTTTTCAAGTTTTTCAAAATGATGAATCTACAGCCCATAAATTTTGAGCTCAAGCGTGAGCTGATGCTCCAGGTGCGTGCACTCCGGGGTCGGGATATCCAAGCAATTTTCCATGAAACTCCACGAAGTTTTGGTCGACTATGTTTCCCGGTCTACAACGATGGTTACAAAGTGGAGCTGTGTAGAGGGTAGGGGTATTTAATATAGCTGTTTAATCCGGAGTCGGCTGTCTACCATGATGTGGGATTTTATCGCCACTGGGATGGGGTCTATATATATTTTGATTCTAATGGTTTTCCTCCTCCTGACTTCGTTAAAGATTACCTATTCTACCACAAAATTAAAGATAAAATACAAGATCTTCGACTTCGAGTCCAGGGATGCGGAAACTGTATTTACTTCGCCTTACTTTTCTGGATTTCATGACGAGTTCCACACATTATAACTCAGCTGACGTTATTCAAGAATTCATTAAATACATTTCAAAACATCCTGACGAAACTGTTGTACTAAATGTCCAGTCCATGTTGATGGAGATTCCTCAGAAGATCGATCTCAGACCCAGAGCATCTTCGACTACGGTGGGAATTTTTCTCCCTCCCTCAAAACTACGTATGGGCAAGCACAGGAGGTGCTCAGTGAAGCGTCTTACTCGTAGCTGTATTCGGAGGCAGAAAAGGCCAGGAATCCTATCTCGTGAAGCCATAGATGCTACTTTGCATAAGAAAATATTATCTTACGAAGCTCTCGTCATAAAAGAATGAAGTGATTTGTTTTTTGCGTAAAATTGAGTGAAAGTAGCAGTTACACCACATGAGGACCATCTTGCCCTAAGAACCACCACTGTAGAGGACCATCCTGGCCTGACAACCACCACTGTAGAGGACCATCCTGGCCTGACAACCACCACTGTAGAGGACCATCCTGGCCTGACAACCACCACTGTAGAGGACCATCCTGGCCTGACAACCACCACTGTAGATGACCATCCTGGCCTGACAACCACCACTGTAGAGGACCATCCTGGCCTGACAGCCACCACTGTAGAGGACCATCCTGGCCTGACAACCACCACTGTAGATGACCA